CCTCATATGTGGGATCCGAACCGGGGCTCTCTGGCGTCCCAAGCCAGGTCTTAACCAGTGCGCCACTCGGCTGGCTCTGAATACTAGTTTTAAATGTAGGAGCTGTCAGATTTGATGAGACTTGTAAAAGTACCTCTTTATGTTTCTAAAAGGGGAGGAGATACATGAATTACTGTATGCAGTGTCTCTGTTATCATTATTAGGTCACATGGCTATTTGAATAAATTCATGACCCTTCCACATTTTTTCAAGTTTTCTGCAGAATTCTCTTCCCCCAGAGCCTCTAGGAATTGGGGTCACTGCTTTTCTATGACAGTCTGTTTCTCCTGGGGGTGAAGGGGCTCCCCCTGCTCTTAAAGTCCAGTTTACAGGGTTGCCGGGCCCGCTTGTCGTGTGTGTGTGTGTGTGTGTGTGTGAGAGAGCAGGAGTGAGTGCCCTGCTTCCTTGTCACTGACACAGCACTCCTCAGTTCATAGTCAGCAGCACGGAGCTAGTTACCCACAGGCTTTCTGCTTTGCTGGGTCACAGCAATGTTTTGCATTTTGTCCTTTTCACCCTTCTAATAATGTGCTGCTGCCTTTCCTAGGGCCATATTGACAAACTGAGATGGCAGATTAAACACAGGCCCTGCTGAGCACTTATCCCTCCTCCTTCCTTTCTCTTCATTTGGCAGTGTCCCTATCACCAGAGCAGAGCTAGGGACCTAGGGAACACCAGATAAGGCTAAAATGGTAATGGCCACCTCAAATAATACGTTTAGATGGAGGTAATTGAGTTATAACAGGGATTGTAAAATTTAATTAACACAATTGTTTAAAACTTTTCTTTCATAGCATCTTTTTATTTTTTCAAAAAGCTTACTTGGAATTCAAATAAAGAAACAGATAAATGCAACCCTTTAGTTGAAGGTTGGGGCAAAACCTGCTTGTTTGGCCTCTTCTCATTTTACGGCCCCACCCCACCCCCACCCGCCAAGTCATCACCCATGTATGTACCTACCTCCATGTAACCCTAGGGCTCTAAGGAAGACAATTCAGAAGTGGCTGATAGAAACATCCCACACTGAGGCGTAATCCTGGTATCTTCGATTTTGTTCTGTTTTCGAATGTTTGGCTCATCGTGACCATTGCTGGGACACTCCTTTCCTGTCCTATGAATGTCATTAAAACCACAATTTCACCCGGTGTTTCCATTTTAGTAAATAGTTAACTCCATTCATTCTCTTGCAGAGGCTGAAAATCCCTGATTGCTCTTCCCATCCATTAGCAAGTGTTGGTTTTCAGCCTTCAAAGTCCATCCACTTTGCCTCCCTGGTCAGCCTCTTTTTATTTCTGCCCTAGAAACTGCAATAGCCAACTAGCCAGCATCTGTTTTTCACTCTTTCTCCCCCTGCAATCTAGAATAGTGGTTAATTACGTGGATTCTGAAACCAGATTTCCTGTATTCATACCTAGTTCTATCATGTGACATTGAGAATACTAATTAACCTTTCTGGGCCTCAGTTTCCTTAACAGTTACATGAAGGTGAGGGTGATGATACTGTTTACGTCCTGTGGGTAGCTGATGAGTTATTGCACAGAAATTACTTAGAATGTGCTTGGCAAATAGTAAACATCCAATAAATGCTCAATAGTAGGTGGTATTGAGATTCCTGCCATTTTTTTATTATTATTATTCATACAGAATTAAAACCGGACTCAAAACGTTAATCAGATGGCTTCTCCATTGGCATCCTGGCACGTTTAGAACAGTATCCGCAGTCCTCACCCTGGCTGGACGGACCCCCTGATCGTTTGGTGCCCTTGCTCATCTGGTCCAGCTGGCCTGCGGTGGTTTCCCACCCTTCCCAGCCCTGTTTGTCTCTGCCCTCAGTTCCCTCCCCCAGATATGTTCACCTTGCAAGTATCTGGACTACCTGCCACTCCCCTCATTTAAGTCTGTGCTCAAATGTCTGTTCCTCGGGGTCTGACCACAGTTCTAGAATATCATCCTGTCTTTTTGTGTATCCTTCAACTTATTTTTTTTTCATAACTTATGAAAAGATGACTTTTCACTATCTAACATTATATTATATATGTGTATCTGTTCGTTTATTGGTTATTTACCCCCTTTACACTAGGTTCCATAATAAATGAAAGCAAGGGACTTTGTCTGTTTTAGTCCTCATTGTAGCCCTAGGACCTTCCATATACATAGTGGGTACTCTAGAGGTATTTTTTAAATGGCTGGTTGGGAGGGGATGGATGGAGAAAGATTCTCCCCTTTGTTCTTCACAGAGAGAAGCTGAGGTTACCAGGTAGTTGGAGAGGCCTGAGTGAGCTTTTTTGAGATTAGATCACTTTAGAGAAGAGTTCAGGTTGTTTTGTTTTTTATTCTTTTTCATGGATAAAAATGTATCATGTAATTCACCATAATTGTCTCACTCACAACTGGATTAATTGCATTGTTAAATTAGTAACCTCTTACAGTTACTATTCAAGATCCGTTACATATATCTTTTCTTTGCAGTTAATGACAAGGAGTCTGGATTTATTATTTGGGTTTATCGAGCATCCTTAAGCCCATGAAGTCTCCCTTTATTACCAACCTCACGTCTGTCTGGAATCAGGAAAATAGAGACATATATAATATTCATAAAAAATTCTGCTTCTGATTAAGAGCAGTAGGTCCAGGGTGTCTATGAAAATGTGATTTTTTTTTTAAGCGTTCAGGTTTAAAATGCTTCCTAGTCACTCAGAGATGAAACACAGAATGACTTATTCACTAATCAATTGAATATGAATTTTTAAAATTAGCTTTACCATTTATCTTAAATAATTATGTAATTTAATTACTGTTTGAGAACTTTGTACTAATTCTTTGACATTAATACTTAACTGGTAACCTTTAGCATCTTTGTTTTTGTTTTCTTTATAATTTTGAGATTTTCTTTAAAAATCACCCTTACTCATTTCAGTTGATTGTTATGCCCTCCTTTCCTAGAACATATAATTTATTTGCTTTTTATTTTGGGCCTCTCTTCCACTTTCATATTTAATACCCAACAATCTTCTGAACTACATCTTGTTATATAATCTGAGTGGGAAAAAAATGACTTTCTGATTTGAAAAGAGGTTAGTTATACGCTAATTTTTTTTTTTAATCACTGACATTAAATGAGTTAACGTTTGGCATTGACCTAAGTTATGCCTATCCACATAGGCACCATTGGGAGACACTGTCAAATGGGTGTTTGACTGCGAGACTTGGTGGAAATGTAGGTGGTCTGTGGTAAGCTGCGGGGGACAGACATCTCCCTTGGAGCAGGACACAGCTCACTGGATCATGATTATCAATATGAATAAGAATCGAGAAAGTGGGTCCTGCCATCCCTGTGCCCTTTGGGGTTTTCAACAGGGGCACCTGACCTGTGACCCCAGTGTTCACAGCAGTGTTGCTGCCTGATCATCGGTGTCGGCTAGACCCTTCGCTGTGAAGCAGAATTCCCAGCCTTTGGGTTGTTCAGCAGCCTACTTTGTGTTCTTAAAATAAGTGTCAACATAGAGTATCTTTGCTTCTTATCTATAAAATACGATTTTTATTAGAAGAATTTAAGCGTAAGAGTAGTAAAAAATCAGAGATCTCTTTTATAAGCTGTTTTCTCCTTTTATTCATACATGGACTTTTTTAAAATCATCATTATTATTATTACAGGCCATGGTTGCTTGTTATCCAGGCAATGGAACGGGCTACGTACGTCATGTTGATAATCCAAATGGAGATGGAAGATGTGTGACATGTATATATTATCTTAATAAAGACTGGGATGCCAAGGTATGCAACTTCATTGAGCATTTATTTTTTTTCTACAGGTATTAAGATTCATTCGCCTCAAGGCGACACCATCTTTGACACATGCAACAGTTAAAAACTTGTCTCGTGGATTTGTTTCAGTCTCGGGTATTAGGAGTGGAACTTTGTAAAATGAAACAGATACTAATATGTCTCAAAAAGGAGATTCCCTTATTTTCTGATATTGAAGTATTTATCCAAAATCAATTTTTACCAGAGGGTCTTTTATTAAAATATAATTCCTTTTACTAAGTTTTGTAAAAAACACTTCTGCAAACGATTGTTTTATAATGGCTTTTGAGGGAGATTTCTATATAAATAATTATTATGGTTTATTTGCCGCTCACGCCTCCATTTTATTCTTTGCCTTGTTGTAGAGATGTTTTTGGGCATGGGGCTCTTGGATTGAATCCTGGAGGCAGGGTCCCTTCTTTCCCTGATTATGGAAAAACTAGAAGTTTATCAACAGTGACAAATTCTATAAACCAATTAAAATGTACAATATAGTCTCTCTTGTTTTAAGCACGTATTCCCTTAATATTAGCCTGAGTTTGACTTAACATTTAAATGATTTAAACTTTAGAAGTATGTCATGTATTACTCCTACATTGGAGGTGGTATAAACTAATTTTTTAACATGTTAAGCGCAGAGCCGATTTTGCTGGGCTTTCCCTTCAGGTGGCGGGCAGGTCGTTACCTTTTGTAATATGTGCAAATCTAAACCACATCTTTGCCTAGAATGTTTTTAAAAACTTCATTAAAATTACATTTATTTTTTAATTAACCTTGATACTGCCAGTTGCACGCACTGATGTCGCCCAAACGAAAAGTCCACTGTCAGTCCCTGGGGACTGACGCCGTGCTTAACGTGTTAAAACCTTTTTTTTTTTTTTTTTTTTTTTT